ATGTGAGGTGAGGAAGGCTGGGGTGGATTGAAGAGATCTCCCAGCAGGGCATCAAGATTTTGGGCTTCGGTCATGTTGAGTTTGAGATGCTTATTAGACGGCAGGTGGCCGTGGCGACGGCAGACTGGCAATTGGGGATGAATGAGGCCTGGGTTAGAGAAATCTTTGGGAATCGTTGGCATGTATGAAGTCATAAGCAGGAGGGAGATTATTATTTTTTTTAATTAATTAATTCAATTTAATTTTATTTATTTTTGGCTGTGTTGGGTCTTTGTTGCTGCGTGTGGGCTTTCTCTAGTTGTGGCGAGCCGGGGCTACTCTTCGTTGAGGTGCGCGGGCTTCTCATTGCAGTGGCTTCTCTTGTTGCGGAGCATGGGCTCTAGGCATGTGGGCTTCAGTAGTTGTGGCGCACGGGCTCAGTAGCTGTGGCGCATGTGCTTAGTTGCTCCGCGGCATGTGGGATCTTCCCGGACCAGGGCTCGAACCTGTGTCCCCTGCATTGGCAGGCAGATTCTTAACCACAGCACCACCAGGGAAGACCCAGAGGAAGATTATTGATAGAGAGTGTGAAGAGAGAGAAAAGGAGAGAGAAGGAAAGAGAAATGAGGCCCAGGACTGAGCCTTACCTGTACCAATGGTCACCTGCTGGACAGAGAAAGAGCAGGAGGCAGAGAAGGAGCCGTGAGTTTGAGCAGAGGAGAACTGGAAGGATGTGGTGGCTAGAAAGGCAAGATAAGAGAGTGTTTCAAGAAAGAAAGCAGTTAACTATGCTGAGTACCCCTGGGAGTCATATGAAGCGAGCACAAGTATCTAAACTATATTTGATTGTAAACATTAACCTTGCAAATTTTCAGGAATATACATATCACATGAACAGAAGCAATCTTTTCTCAGATGGTTTTATTTTTTCATTACAAATTAATAAAAACTTTAATTGATTTAATGTTTTTAATTAGCAAGTATAATTTCATTTGTGTAAAGAGGTCTGATTAGAATCAGAGTTGGCCTGATCGCAGTGAGTTAGAGCAAGTGGCAGTGTACAACAAGGTCACGCAGGACACGTGGGTCTCCTTGGTCACCTCGGCCACAAGATGCTCCACACCATCCCGTGTCTCTGTAATTATCTGATGACCATACCCAAGTTCCTTCCTCCTTATAAAGTGCTTCCATTTTTATAATTCTAAAGCCAAGAGAGTTAGGCCAAGTACCTTGTAAAGTTCCTTCTGTTTTAAGACGACTTTGATTCTATGATTCCACCTAGGTCCATTTATGGAGACCTTTCTTATTAAAGTGTATTGGCACCAATGAAAGACTTTTTTCGTCGTCATTCCAAAAATTTGGCCAAGGCTAACATTGCCTGTGTCGATGTGCAAAAGAATATTTTTATTTCTGACTTTCATTTCATGATTCTGGGCAAAGCAGTGTCAGTAGCAAGATGCAAGATCCCCACTTTCAAACTCCTGTTACTTTTATGGCATCTTAAAGCCTGACTCATGTTATAAATTAAATTTTACTTTTTAAAGGTACACAATGACTACGATGCCTGAGATAAGAGTTCCAAGCCTTTTGAACTCCCCCGTATTTTGGCTCTATATTACTGGCTGACTTCAAGGCCTGAACTTTCTATAAAGAAGGTACATGTTGAAAGTTATTTGTTCTGAAGCCCTTTGCTTTCCCAAGGACCACAGCCTGTGTGGGCTCCTCTTAGCAGTCTGATTAAGCTTTATTTGATGAACTACACATGGCAAAAGGTAGACTAAGTCATGCAGTTCCATAAAAATCTTTTTTTTTCAGCCTGCATTTCAGATCTCACGAATATTCCCAAACGATCTTTAAAGAAAGGCTGTAGCAAATTGTAATATAAGTCATGTATAGTGATAACAGATAAGTAATTAATACAACAGAAAGTTAAAAAATCACCTGCTGACCGATATGCTATTCAAAATGTAGTTGCCAAAAGGGTGAACTTTATGCATCACTTTTTAACAGATAACTAGGTTTCTTTATCTTTCCTGTTAGTCAACACTACTTTTAGAGATAAGATTCTTAAAGTAATAAGTGGAATCAAGCAATACTAAGAGTTTAATTCATAATTTAGATACAGTGACTTATTTTATTTTCCATAATTTATGTTTTAAAATCCACCTTTTAATCCCACTCGTATATTTATTAGCCCCTGGAGAAGAGAAAATTGAAAATTTTGCAGTTTACTTTTGGAGTACATGCTAAATGGCTAGAAAACATGAAGCCTTTTAAAGTATCAGTGAGTGAAGAGATCTAACCAGGTGCTATGTAGCCAGATGTCTAGTAAATAGCTGAGAAAAACAAACACACAAAGAATAATTATGTGCTAAGTGGATGCACAAAATGAGACGTGAAAAGAATTGCAAAAGGCACTTTTTACCCCCTAATAAATACAAAAATTCCATATGGGTGAGAACTCCTTTTCTATGTAAAAATGCTCATTTATTGTTGGTTCTGTGTCATCAGGGGAATTCTGGGGGTGGAGAGAAACTGGGGGCAAGTGTTTAAAACTAATTAGTACAATAGAGACCATTAAAAGGAACATTTTTATTTGGTTGAAAAAATACACAAAAACCTTCTTGTAGAAAAGTGAACTGCATTGTGTAGGCGTGTGAACATCACTCAACATCAACAAGAGTAAAACCCCAGGTGCCTAATGGAAGATATTATATACACTGCAGATTGTTTTAATTTGGTGGCATTTTATCCAGAGCCACTACCCAAGGTAAGATTGTCCTGTGGTACCTGAAGAGAATCTAGATGCCTGAGAGGTCAGAGGGGGTGGGAGAGGCAGTGGGGGAGGTGTAGGAATGGAGAGCAAGGCCAGAAGCCCATACACCTTGGATTGCTAGGTGTGCTGGTTAATTCTGTGTCAACTTGACTGGGGAAAGGGATGCCCAGATAGCTGGTAAAACATTATTCCTGGGTGTGTCTGTGAGGGTGTTTTAGGAAGAGATCAGTATTTAGTTCAGTAGACTGAGCAGAGAAGATCCGATCTCACCAATGTGGGCAGGCATCATCCAATCCTCCGGAGGCCCTAATAGAAGAAAAAAGGTGAAGGAAGAACCAATTCCTGCTCTCCTTCATCTCCTCCGGCCCTGGGATTTCGGAGCTCTTGGTTCTCAGGCCTTTGGACTCAGACTGAATTATACCACGGGCTTTCCCGCTTCTCTGCTTGCAGATGGCTGACTGTGGGACACCTTGGCCTCCGTAACTGTGTGAACCAATTCCTATAATAAATCTCCTCTTATATATAGTGATCCAATTTTTATAATAAATCTCCTCCTATATATAACTATCTATATATCCTACTGGTTCTGTTTCTCTGGAGAACCCTGACTAATACAACAAGGCCCGTTAAAGCTGCGGTATTGGGAATTCCCTGGCAGCCCACTGGTTAGGGCTCCGAGCTTTCACTGCTGAGGGCCCGGGTTTGATCCCTGGTCAGGGCACCAGGATCCCATAAGCTGCACAGCCAAAAAAATGGATTTTTGTATTTCAGCATGGTTATCACCCACCTCTGGGTTTCATTCCACTTGACAACCTCTAGATGTTTCACAGATATCTGCCGACCTAAACCAAACTCACCTCCCTCCCTCCTGTGTGCTGGGCAATATGTAAATGCTAAAGACGTAAGTGATAAGGATGCTATTGGTGTCATTGATCGTGTAATTGTTGAAAAAAGCACATACACATCATTTCATATGATGGGGAAGTGCCACGGGCGAGGCAGGCCCACTGTTAGATCTGTGTGCACGTGGCCACCCATTCTGGTGTGGGGACGTCACCAGCCCACGGCTCACATTTTGACCAATGGGAGGCTGAAGACAGGAAGGAGCTAAAATATGGCTCCCTCACCCCTCCTATCACCCAAGTAACTGCTTTGAGGTACAGCAGTTTCATACTGCATCTGAGAGGTGTCACACAGGACTTAGCAACCAACTGTGTTTTCTTGAGAAGTGGTGGCCTGCTTAGGAACGTAGTATCTTATATTTGTTTTTTGTCCTTTCCTGACTCCAATTATTTCCCCCTTACTCTTGCTGCCCTGGGATTATACCCCCTGATAAAGTGTTAAGAGGTAAGCTTTGTCTAGCTGTTTTCTAGAGAATTGGTACAAAGACATTGCTTTTTTAAAACGTTTGGAACATTATCCTGGTTCCTATTATGGGGTACCTAACCTAAGGTGGATGAGTGGGGGAGGAAGAAGTGGGAAAGGAACCCAGGAGAGGCTTCCAGGAGGAGGTGAGCCTTGAATAGGGTCTAGAAGGAAAAGGAGTCAGGCAAAGTGGGGCTGATAAAGGAAGATGAAACAACATGAACAAAATACAGACATGGAACTGTGTTGTATTCAGGGAATAAGGCTTCTGCGTAGAAGGCTAGTAGAAAATATGGAAGTCTTGAAGTCTTACTAATATTACAGTTATTATTACTGCTTAATAATATTAATAAGTGATACTACTACTTAATAATATTATTATTACTAATGATGTTTTTACTTAATATTATCAGCTACTTGAAGTCTTACAAATATTACAGGGGTATAGAGAGGCTGCTTTAACTTCTCTCTTCATTAACCCTTCCACTGAAGGCGAGATAAGAAGTGAGAGGATTTAGGAATACCCCGGCATTTGCATATAGGTGGCCTGAGGACAGAAGCTGGCTCACAGGCACGTGCCCATCAATGATGCCCTACACGGTGCGTGTTTATTTGTGTGTTTGAATTGGTTGCCCATCAAGTCCACATAAAATTCAGAGTTCCTGTTTCTCTCAAAAAATCAGACCTGGTAGTACAGGGCTTCTATCTCCACAGGAAAACCAATGGCTGGAACCGAGCAGTAGATGCCCACGTTAGAAGAGGATACGAGACCTCAAGATTGCACCGTCCCCCCTACAACCTGACCTGGCTCGTGTTGCACATTTACTTGCCTTGGTTCCTCTAGCATTTGAGTTTGCAGTTCTGGGAATTCACTCGATACTGGGTAATCTCGGGTCAGCGAGAGAATCTCTGCCACCTCAGCCTCCCAGGGCTGCGTGCCACTATAGCCACTGAAGCTCATGGTGCTGAGACTGAGAAGATTGACACATGCCTGCTTCTTTTGGTCAGCAGCTCCTGATTCACACTCTGGGCCGAGCACGTCTGATTGGTGAGGCTGAGGTCACGTGCTCATGCCTCGGCAGCAAAGGCAGCTGGGAAAGGGAATATTGGCATTTATAACTTCTTTGATGGGAGGTGGACTCTGCCTCCAGCAAGATTAATAAAATGTTTTGCTGTTGGGCAGCCAAATGAATGACAAAAGTCCATTAGAAAGGGGTTGGCTGTCTAACTGTGGCATGTTTACCAGTGGGGCACAGGACACATGAGATGATTTTATGTCAAACACAAAATCTTTGCTTTGATAGCATGGCATTATTTTATGTGCATTAGGAAGATATAGTTAAGGTATCAAACCTGCAAAGGACAGGAAAAGTTTATGAAGAGTGTGAAGTGTGGCAATTTAAAGAAAAATCTTAAGTAAATAGTAGTTTAGATGATACTGGAAATAATAAAATTACTATTCAAATGACTGAATTTTTGGAAATTAGTCTAGATAAATGAAAACCTTTACATTTCTCTTTATGCCAAGTAATGATGATGATAATGATGATAAAATTAATACTAACAATACAAAATTTTACATTTATTTAGTGTTGTGGGCGAGACTGTGTTCTAAGAATTTTACATTTGTTTATTTACTTAAACATCACATCAACTTTACGAGATAGTTACTATTATTTCCCCATTTTACAGATAGGGACCTAAGGCCCAAAGGGGTTAAACGAGAGTTCACTCAATAAATAGTCAAGTGAGGATTTGAATTCATGCCACTACTTTCTACCTGACAACTGCATATATGAGGGTGGATTTAGATTACTGTACAATGATTGCACCAAAAATCTGCAGAACTGATTTAGGATTTGGAGTCAGAAATTTGGGGGTGAATGCTTTTCGAGTACTCATTTTCGTGCCAAGGAGAGTTCTCAGCCTCGGCACTATTGATATTTTGAGCAGGTAATTCTTTTTTGTGTGTATGTGTGGGACTATCCTATGCATTTTAGGGCAGACTTTCTGGCTTCTACCCACTGGATGCCAGTATATCTTCTCCAGTTGTGACAACCAAACATGTCTCCAGACATTGTCAAATGTCCCCTGGAGACAACATTGCCCCCAGTTGAGAACTCCTGGCCTAGAGAATTCTGAAGTCTCTCAGTGAGAAGCCCAGAAATAATTACCAGCAAGATTAAATGATATGACTAAGCCGCTCTGGTATGCTTTCCGAGGTAGTCTTCCATAGTATCCTGTCATTATTCGTTAATAGCAGGCATGTCTCATTTCTCATATCAGAAATACACAGTACCAGCTTGTACCAGCTATTGGTTTTCAATGCAATATGTGGTGAATCTTTAACTTTGTGGTTTACTTATAAAATGAACAACCAGCTTCTCATTTTTCTAGAATCCAGTGGCTGTACACTTGGCAAGAAATGACAGGTGACCTCAGTCTCTTTAGATTTTTAAGCCAGTATGTTTCTTTCCCTGACTTGGTGTTTGATCACATCAAGAATTTTTTTTTTTTTTTTTTGCGGGTGGTGTTCTATGTAAAAATAGGACAGATTATAAATTATGTCCATTCTCTATATTTGAATATGGTTGTTAGGATTTTCAATACAATGATCAATATTATGTTCATGATGTATTAATACATCGTGAACATTGAAGAGCTATGAAAGGACAAATCATCTCTCAGGTTGGGCTTTCTGGTCATTAAATCATTAACTTTTACTAGACACCAGAGTCTAGCAAGAGCATCACCTAATCCTTTTTATTTTAGTGTGCCCTGGCCTTCATGGCATCTCCCATACCATTCTTTGCCAGCCAAAACCTTCCCTCTAATCCCTTCAGATCTATCTGAGCATTAAAGTCCAACAAAAAAGTCACCTCCTTCACGACTGCTTCCAGAAGTCAGAATCAGAAGAAGCACTTCTTTCCACTGGCCCCACTTATCACCTTTTACCCATCCTTGTATTCCTCTTTCTATTGCATCGAATTAAGTGAGGGACTAGCCCTCCAATGCAGCCTTGCTCCTTATCTTTTCTGTGCAGAAAATAAGTCTTAGCTCCGATTAAAGCTGGCCGTTGTTTGGGGGTTGAGGATGTTCATACACGACCATTCACATTGACAAATAATATTATAGCTGCTTTATTTTTGAAGGTGGATCTGTTTGTCCTCACACTCTCACCCCACAGGGTAGTGTGTGTGCAGGGGGTGGGGCCTTAAATCTACCAGTTAAGACACTCTTCTTTAAACAAATTAAAGTAGAGTTGATTTATAATAGTGTTAATTTCAGGTATACATTACTCTTAATTCGGTCTCTTCCTGTTTTAAATGCAGCCATCTCATTGGGGCAAGGTTTCTACTCAGCTATGCTCCACCTTGAAGATTTCATCTTTCTCACCTGTTTCTCCTCAAGATATGCCAGTGGGAACTAAAATAAACTAATTCAGAAAACTGTTTCTCAACAAAGCCTGGCTTTCAAGACTACTGTCTTAGACTCAAAAATCCTATTTTTTTATTTCAAAAGATGAACCTTGGCTTTGTCTTTCTCTGTAATAATCCTTATCTGCTCAAAGGCAAGTGGATGATACTGGCTTTTTAATTAATTTTTCCTGACTTTTGTTTTCCTGGGCTTACCTTTTACCAGGTACATGATTCAGTTGGCTTTTAATATCCTTTAAAAATGATAGAAAGAAAGAAAGAAAGAAAAGAAAAGAAAGAAAGAAAGAAAGAAAGAGAGAGAGAGAGGGAGGGAGGGAGGGAGGAAGGGAGAAAGATAGAAATTGCTGTGCATTAAGGCTATACAAATTATAAAAAGATATGGTCACTAATGACATTGAATTCAATCTTTGCAAATTCTAAAAGAAAGAGAATTTGCTTCTGTAAAGTGAGAGAACAAATGCTTATGTAGACCTGGGCCAAGAAAGCCAATTTCCATTTTCCTGGAATCAGTTGTAATGGGAGCCAAGACAATATCCTGTCTCTCACTGAGATCTCATTTACAGAGGTCATGAAACAGTCCTATTATACTTCATTTAATCCTTGATCACAGATTATACTAGTAGACAAACTCGTATTTCTTTTTTTTTTTTTTGCGATACGCGGGCCTCTCACTGTTGTGGCCTCTCTCGCCGCGGAGCACAGGCTCCAGACGCGCAGGCTCAGCGGCCATGGCTGACGGGCCCAGCCGCTCCGCGGCACGTGGGATCTTCCCGGACCGGGGCACGAACCCGTGTCTCCTGCATCGGCAGGCGGACTCTCAACCACTGCGCCACCAGGGAAGCCCAAAACTCGTATTTCTTATTGGACAGTTAGATTACCTGTTGCTAAAGGTATAAAGTTTGAGTGACACAATGTAGAAGGAAACAAAAAATATTTCATTTCAGCCAGTTCTAAGCCACTGTGACAATACACCCAAATAAGCTAAAAAGATCTGAGATGGACCCATACCATATGTGTAACACAAACTCAGATAATTTCCATATTAGTCCAATAGCATGTAATTCTTCATTTATCTCATGGCTTTCCCAACGGTTACCAAGGAGTAGAGAAATTACTTCCTCAGTCTACACCAGTGTTGAATAGATGCCTGCTTATTTCTCATACAGAAAAGTCTAGATTGGGGGGATTATTTTGAATATGAAAAAAGTTATATTATAGTTGGCCATGTACTTATTGACCTGTAGAGTTAGAATGGACAGTAGTGTTAACCTCATCATTTTACAAATTCATTTCAGCAAGTGCTCATTGAGTACCTGAGGCCCAAAGAGGCCTGAGAAGTGGTTGTCAACACTGTGCTTTGAGTCACCTGGGAATATTTTAAAAACATGCATTACCTGGGCTCCAACTGAAGAATTCTGATATAATTGCTCTGGTGTGAGGTTTGGATGTTGGTAAGTTTAAAAAACTTCTCAGGTGATTCTCATGCTCCTAGAACTACCCTCTCCCCCCAGTAAAAAAAAATGGCATTAAAATTTTTATTCTGTATCTTATCCACTTACTTAAATTAACTGATTTGATGAGGTAAAGGGGGAGAAATGAGAGAAACTCTCCAGATGCCTCATCACTTCTCTGGGCTTTCATAACCTTGTCCCTTTTACCTCTATAGTTATTTTTCCAGCTAGTCCAACCTCTTTTTAAAAAATTAAGTTGCATACCTACTGTAGAATTCACAAATCCTATTCCCTCAAAATGTGATTTTACTCCCCATCATGGATATTGTGAAAATATTTTCAGTTAAGGATAAACCATGCCTGTAGCTGACTGACTTATCCTGTCTACCAGAGCTACCAAGGAGCTCTGCTCCAAAACTCGAGGCTCAATGGTGACCTTGAGATGGTACAAACCTCAGCTGGACCACTGCTCAGCAGTCCTAACTCCATGAGTTTCCAAGGAAGTATTTGTTGCTATCAGATACTGGAGACAAATTAGAGAAAGAATTTCAAGGACTTTGAGGCTTGAGAGAATGGTGTGGATAAAAGTCAATAGTCAGAAATGAGGAAGTGTAGAACTTAGGTTGTAGGTATAGAAATGTTGTGTGAGATCAGCCCCTAGTGGGCACTGTAACGATTACAATTGTTCAGGCTTTGTGTTGAGGTGACGTGGCTTGCTGTTGGAACAGTATTCATTGCCACGTCAGACCACAAGTGTTCTAAACACAGACTGACTTCAGATGGCAGAAATATAACATTCTCTTTATTATATAAATATATAATATTCATATTTCCCAGGCTATATGGCAAAGGATCTCTCAGCTTCTCTCTAAAACAGACAGCTCTTAAGTTGTTTTCTATCACTTGTAGAAGAAAATCCTAGAAACTCCCTAATGTAGAGGACAATGGTCCTATATGATCGTGCTTCTTCCCACCTCTCCATTCTCACCTCCTGATTCTTCAGTGTTCTATTCACAGTGTCAGGATGAGAAAGTTTTCAGGTGGAGATGGAGGAAAAGCATTCCAGACAGGGG